AATACATATACTTCTTTAATCTGCCAAAAAAATACATGCATGATTGTGCTATCTTTCTCTTCCATTAATGAAACGGACACTTGCAGAGACCGCAATCAGCGAACTCAATCTTATTTAAGAAACAGCGTCACGACAAATGCTGCTATTAGCTTTCTTTTATTCACATTGTTGACCGGGTGTTTTTTATAAGAACTAAAGCGTGTGTCCGGCGATTTTTGGGAAAAATTTAAAATTCTCAACACTTTTTTTACATAATATATTTATTAGAAACTTTTTTATTGCATAATATATTTATAAGGAACTTTGCACACATTGTATTAAATTACATGTTTTAATATTTTTTAAGAGTATGATAGGCTTCGTTATCGAAAGACGTCGTATGACGTTCCCGGTCAACAATGTGTTAAAAACAACTAGCTTGCCACATTTCGATACTTACGTTATATGCAAGGTTGTCTTGGTTTTCATTTTAAATGAAAAATTCAAATTTGATTTGAGAAACACTGCCCATTAAAGAAAGGTAATTAAAATAACGAAATAAAGGAACTACAAAAAAAAACACAAAAAGAATAAAATAAAAATCACATCCTTGAAAACGGTAAAAATTTCCAGTTTAACAAATTTCATTTTTTTCATGTCATTTTTATTTTAAACCCGTTAAGAAAGCATTTTTTTTATTTTATGTTTTTTGAGCAGTAAACAAACTTTATAACGGTTTGTTAATTTTATTAATAATTTTCTTTTGTTTTATTATTGTTATTAAATTTTATGTTTTCATTTGATTGTTGGATAACATAACACTTAAGGGGTGGTACAGCGGTTTTACGTATGTTTAAATGGAATAAATGGCGTATGTTTAAATGGAAATGTTGGTATGAGTGTAAATGGAAATGTTGGTATGAGTATTGTAATAACGTTAAACATGATTGTCATAAAGTTTGGTGAAATTTTCATTTTTATGAAATCGTAAAAGAAAATTTATTAACAAATTTACACAAAATTTTTTTTTTTTTAAATTATTCGCCGTATATACAAAACACTTTCGTATTTATACTTACGTACCTACAGAATTTTGAGAATGAAAAATTAAATTTAATGACTTTTTAATTCGAATATTAAATAAAATGTCAAAAATTGACGGGAAATCAAAGTGAATATTTTAACATTGAAATGAAATTTTCTAAAATTAACTCTTTATATTTCTGTTATAAAAATTAAATTTAATAAAAATAAAGTTTGGGGCACTCTTCAATCACACCTAGTGTGTGATTACAATAGAAAGATATAATTGCCAAGAAGGTTATACATTCAAAATATCATTAAAGGCTTTACCGTTGCATCAATAAAATGCCGCCAAATTTTATGGAAACATTTAAATTTTTTCTGCTTCTTATTTTTTTATATTTATTTTATTCCAATAATTTATTGTCACCTAGACCTACCTTAATAATAATAAATTTTTGTTTTTTTTAATTAATTATCATAATTTGTATCTAATGTTTTTTTTTATGATTTAACAATTTTTAAATATCATTTAAATAATTCACAGATATTATTGATAAAAACTCGTTTAAGCATACCTAAAATATCAATACAGTTTCATTTTACGCTTATTACTTTTGCTTTTGATATTCTTAATCTACATGTGTCTCACGCCTGATATTAATAAGTACTGTTATAATGTTGCGGCATTATTTATTAGGAATTCCATAATACTTCGTTTTTTTGTATCAAATATTTTTATTCACACATAAATTACTAGAATATTTACATTTGATTTTAAATTTTATTCAAATTTTCATATAGTTTAATTAAATACCTTTGTTTATTTTCTGTATATTATATGTTATATTTCTGAATAATGTTATTTTTAATTATATATGTGTTAAAAGTAGATGTTAGTTTATTTAAATAGTATGTTTACATACGTTATTTCTGTGTATTTTAATTAAATAAAAACACTATCAAACTTAAATGAAGCAAATGTTTTGCACGGCCTTTAAAAAGGGTTAATATTTTCATACATTTATTAACTTTTGTCTTCAGAAACCGGCCAAGGCCTCTAGGATTTACTCAATAAGAAGAGATATTGAAATCCCTTGTGCAAAGTGAGTCTCCGGCCACGATTTTCTTGTTCGTATCTGCTATCAACAAATTTACTATCTTTGTTCCACAGGTTTACCTCGGTAGAATCGAATTAACAAAATTCTTTACGAATTTAAGCACAGGATGAATAAAATCAATTATCTCCACTTTGTGTCCCTTGTCGAAAGAAAATGGGAGCATAATCCACATAGCCATGGGACCAATATGATGCGGCTCTCAATCGTACTTCGGATTGCGCAGCCATCTGCCGGCCCAGTATATCTAATGGCAAGAGAATCTCAAGAACTTGAGTTGCGGTGGAGCACAACATCCCACTAATACATACCATTGCAATTTGCTTATAAATTTGAGGTTCGCAGCAACACTTAGTGGCAGCCGCAATACCAGAGTACTGTTCGTCAGGATCTGTCTAACTATCGCGGTTCATAGCCATTTAACCATGTTTAATTTCAGACTCCATCTCTTTGCGATGGTTTTCCTGCACGAGTAAAGCACAATACTTACTTTCTTTACTCTTTCCGTAATGTAAAATTTTCAGTTTGGCCTTGAATCAAGAATCAGATACAGGAACCTAACCTTCCTGCTTAAGCATAGGCAGATTCCGTTGAGTTTCGGCTGATTCACAAAAAATAACGTTCCTTAGATACTAAATAATGACGGCACCCCTGTAGTATTTGACAGTCACTGATATTAATTAAATGATGTTCTATTCAAGGTATTCTTAAAAAGACTTAAAATTTCTTCTAACCTAAGCTATCTTTTAATATACTTATAATGTTGAAGCGATTTAAATGAAAGTCCACGTTTTTAGTTGAATTTATATTTGAAAAAATATACATTTGTACATTTATGTAAAATTTTTTTTGCAATTCTTTACTACTAAATGACATTTCAAATAAAACACTGATTTATATTACATTTGAGCAATTTACATTATCAAAATTTTATAACAATATAGGCTCACACTATGTAAGTACACTATATTATACTTGTATTAAATTCCATAATAATTATTCTAATTTCGCTCAAGTAACTTCAAATATTGTACTTGAAAATTCAAATGATTGTTGACATTTCTCGTTTTACAAATGAACCGCCAAACCTAAATTATTTAAAATGTTAGATGTAAAGGAGAGTAAATTGATTGACGTGATTTTCATGTCATTACAAAGATACTTGATAGTATATAGAACTCTACATTATTATGTAGATCTAAGATTTCTAGAAGTTTGTATTGGAAGTAAACAATGTAGCTTTCAATAAACTTTTACTTATATTACTATTGTTATTATTATTTAATTTGAAAAGCGATTAAGTAATTGAATGAGAAAAGAGAAAGAAAAAGATTGATAAATTACTGGTTATGGGGTGGTAAAATGCTTACTAAATCATCATTGAAATTGAAATGAATTGAAATGATTGCCATGTAGTAGTTAGAGTAACTTAAAGACTCTTATGATAATTTAAAATTTAATCGTTACATTAGAATAAATGAAATTGTTAGAAAAAGAAAATTAAAAGATGAAAAAAAAAATTTTAATGCGCAAAAATATTAGAATTTTTTTTTTTCTATAGTATTTAAATTAGATTTAAGAAAAAGCGGTATTTCTACTTAATACCAACTGTAAAATGAGTACCTACCTATTTTTGAATTAAATTGTAAATTGTATTCCCTAGTGGATTGTATAAAAAAAATGTAAATTGATCATGCATTTTATAATGACGTTTTGCATGATGTTTTGCATGATTTAAATTTACACAATTATTACACAAATAATAAAATTCTATGCTAAATTTTTTGTACAAAACACAACGGATCTGACATAATTTAAAAAATCAAATTGAAAATTATAAAAAGAAAATCGGAAACATTATGTGAAACTTAATATAAATCGAGCTTTTTGTACCTCAGTTAACATTTTATTCAAAAACAATACTAAAATGTATATTTTGTAACTTAAATTAAAGAAGTTGAAAAGAAGCTTTACAAGTTTTTGTTTACGATTTTAATTGTATTTTGATTTAAAATTTGATTGACAGGAATATAAAAACTACCTTCTACTATGATACCGTAATTTATGTAATTAACAAAGTCTAGGAATGTATGTCGAATTTAATTTTAGATTTCAATATTTGTTGGACATTAATTTAAACTACTAATTCCAAATAATTAAACAATTTTGAACTCTTTAGTGTATTTAGGGTAAATAGGGTAATAACAGTTTTCATGCGTTCCTGGACGAAATTGAGAAACTGTTTTTGAACTAACAAAATCATATTATTTTTTACAAGTGAGGTATGGCTATTGAAATCGTTCAAAAGATCGAGAATCGTACTATTAATAACATTGAATTGCAATTGTCTAATTCATTGCCAAACAGTTTTTGATTACACTCTAAAATTACTATTTTTGTCCACTCCTCCAATAGTAGCTGTTTTAATCTAAAATTTGGTAAAATTGCTTAATATAGCTTTTTATATAAGGTTCATCTTAAAGCAAAAATTCAATTTATTTACCAATATTTTATACCTATAATAAATTCATTTGAATAAACTAAATTCTTCTGGTTAAAACTAATTATATTAAAATATCAACTGAAAGGTTAAAAATAAAGTCAATTATGTAAAATAGGATTTAGCGAACTAGTAAAGGATTGATAAGAATATTGAAATTTTTCCCTTAAAAAAATAGCAAGGTTATTTTAACTGATTCAAAATAATAATGACAACAAAAAAAATTCTATGATAAGAATGAGCATTTATTACGTCTTTTAATGTTACTGACGGAATAATCTAATAAAAAAAAATCTTAATGTAGCCTTTAATCTCTTGATTTGTTTCTAAAAATATTTTTTACTTACACTTTGTTTTGTTTTTCTGTTTTTTCATTACAGATCAAAGGTATGCTGGAAAGATTTCATCTAAACAAAGATCATGTTCAGGGTATTGTTAAGGCTTTTGAATCTGAAATTGAATTGGCTTTAAAGGATCAACCATCATCACTTCTCATGGAAAATACATATATACCTGAATTACCAGATGGAACTGGTAAGTTATTTTATTATTTTGCTTTTAATTAAAATTCTAATTAAAATTTATTTTCTTTTACTATTTTTTATGCTTTGTATAGAGAAAGGTCTCTACTTAGCCTTAGATCTTGGTGGTACAAATTTTCGTGTTATTCTTCTTGAATTAGATAATGCCGAAGTTAAACATGAATATGTTCAAAAATTTCATATTGATGATGATGTTCGGGTATCCGAAGGTGATAAAATATTTGATTTTCTTGCAAAATGTGTCAATGATTTTTTACATGAACATGGCGCACATCATGAAAAAATTGCAATGGGTTTTACATTTTCATTTCCAATGAAACAACATAGCTTACATTCAGCTAGTTTAAAAAAATGGACAAAATCATTTCATTGTCCGGCAATTGTTGGTGAAGATGTTGTATTAAAATTACAGAATGCTTTAAATCGTATCAAAAGAAGTAATATTGAAGTATTAGCAATTATGAACGATACCACTGGAACATTATTACAAGGTGCCAAATTAGATCATCAAACACGTATCGGTATTGTTGTTGGTACAGGGACAAATGCAGCATATATTGAACATGCTGAACGTGTTAAACATTGGGAACAAAAACGTCATGGTGAAACAAATGTTGTTGTTGTATCTGAATGGGGTGGCTTTGGAGATAATGGTGTTATTGATTTTTGTAAAACAGAATTTGATATTGAAGTAGATCAAAATTCATTGAATTGCCACAATTATACGTAAGTTATTAAAAAAAAAATTTGACTTATGTAATTTTAAAATAATAAGATGATTCGTTTTTTCATTTTAGTTTTGAAAAATATATCAGTGGAAAATATATTGGAGAAACGTGTCGTGTTATAATCAAGAAACTTCAAGAGAAAAAATTACTTTTCGCTAATGCCAATCCAGAAAAACTACCTCATCCGTACAAATTTTGTTCTAGTAATTTATCTTCAATAGAAGAGTGAGTTGAAAAATTTCTTAAAATTTATTTTTTTTTTAATTAAAAACAATGAAGTGATAAAAGTAGGAGACCTCAAATTCAAATATTTTTTAAAACGCGATATTTCCGAATTTCTGTGCTTTTGTTTTCATTTACAAAAAATTCATTAAAAAAATTATAAAATCTTTAATTTCTGTCTTTTTTCTTGTTTTTTTTGCGCAGTGATCATTTGAAAACTAATCAAAATAATTGTGGAACGAAAAAAGTTCTTGAAGACTTCGGTTACGTTTATGGTAAAGATTTTCATGATGAAGACATTGAAATCGTTCAGTATATTGTTGGTATTATTGAAAAACGTGCTGCAACACTATTATCGGCTGTGACATCTGTACTTGTTAATAGAATGGATGAAAGTAATGTTACAGTAGCTATTGACGGTTCAGTTTATAAACATCATCATAGGTTTAGGCAATGGTATCATCAAATGACAAATGAATTAGCCCCAGAAAAGAATGTAAAAAATAAAAATCTTGTAAATAATTTTGAAAAATTCTACAATTGTTCCTTATTTCTTTTTAGATCAAATTTATTTTAGCGGAAGATGGAAGCGGTAAAGGTGCAGCTTTGGCAGCAGCAATAGCTAGAAAAATAGAAGATAGACATTATGAAGAATAATTTTTTTTTGTTTTGAATATTTTTTTGTTATTTTTGTTAATTATTTTAGTTGTAATATTTTTTCCTGATTAGACTTTTTTTTTTATAAAGTAATTACGTATACATACAATTAGACTTTAGTAATAGGTTGATATTATTATATAATTTTATTATTATTTGAGATTCAAAAAAAAAAAGAGATTAATTAAAATGAAAATAAAATCAATTAGAGAGTATAGTACAGAGGTTTTGCCATATTCGAATGTTTAGAATAAATTTTAATTTTTTGGTTTTTTTTTTATTAAATTCATTGCAAATTTTTTAGATTTGAAAAAAAATCGAGAAAAATTTTTGGGAAAAAATTAATTTTTATAATTTTTTTGATTGTTTTAAAAAAATATTTTATGATTTTTGCCAAAAAAAAAATATAATAAAACAATTGTGAATGCATTTTATGATCTTCCATCTAAGATTTACATTTTAATATTATATTAAATATATATTGTATATTATTTTACTCATATTATTTAAGAAATAAAGTATACAAGTTTAAAAAAATAAGGATGACTGTTTCAATTTGCATAAATACAATTATAAATTAATAGACGTATCTAGCTGCCGTACCGGCCAAGTCATCCAACCATATATCTACATTAGAATTATTTTAATATATTAAAACAAAATTTAAATACTGAAAAATTAAAAAAAAAACCTATAGGTTTAATAGCTGGCTCAAAGACAAAGTGGACAATACAAATAGAGAAAGTTTGGTAAAATTGAGGACTGCAACTTTGCTAACAAATCTGCCTAAATGTTGGCTAAACAACAAAAAGATTACGAATTACATAGAGATTTATTATACTTACTGAATATTTTGAATAACTTAATTTTATAATACCTTTCATAACCAATGTTTTTTATGCCACAGCATTTATAAAAAAAAAAATTTTTGAATTCAATATTTCAAATAAACACCATGTTTAACAAATGTACTGGGAATTTAATGACACAATAAGAATGTAAAAATGTTAACATGATTACAATAGTCATTCATTTTAACCACTACTGGAACTACCATGTATTCATGTTCGCACATATTTTTTTTTGTTTTAAATTTTTTTACATTTAATTCAAAAATTCAAAGAGAGAGAGAAGTGTGAGGTTGTCAAAATATATTCATATGTCACATTTTCATATCTTCTTTTTTCTTTATTATTTTTTTGTGTATATTTTAATTAAATATGAATATTTTAATAATAAAAATAAAAATATAATTAAAGTACAATGGAAAAATATTTTTTTATTATTTTGAAAATTTTATTTTTTTTTTTAATTCTATTATAATCCATTTGTCAGATTGACCATTAAAAGCATTAATTTTGAAATAAAAATAAATAAAAAAAAATTTAAATAGATTAAATGTAATTTGTATTTAGTTTATAATAAATTATTTTTAATTAGAATGCGATTAATTAGTTGAATACATTTTCATAATTATTTGTGGAAAAATAATAAAAATAAAAAAACACAATGATTTATGAATTTAATAAACTTCATAAATTTATATTAAATGTTATTTTTTTACTTTGTTTTTAATTATATTATTTAAAACAATAAAAAAAAGATTACAATTAAAAAAAGTTTATTAACTTTTGAATATTTTTAATTGCTCTTTCGAAGTTTTGGCAAGAACTTTCATGTTAAATACATTGTTTTTTTTTTATTTTTAGTCTATAATGCATTGCAGTGGAACATGTTCTTTTAAAGCTGTTCAAAAATAGGAAAACAAATAATAATAACAATGACTTTGTTGATCTTGGTACATAAGAAAAGTTAATTAACAACTTGAACAAGAAATTTGAGATAAAAAAACTGAATGCTTTGAAGCAATTGAATTACCTGGAAACCAAATTGAAGAATTCATTTTGAAAATAGTTTTGAAAGGCTTCTTAAAATTTATTCTACTTTATAATTTGTATCTGGACACACAGGCTGCATGCATATTTCAAAAAATTATTCCACTGCAATCTAATGTTAATATTCTACAAAATTTTGTTATGTAACTACAAAAATTTTATTTTAACCATATTTTAAATTAAATCTATAGAAATTTTAACAAATCATCATCATTTAACGTAAATAAAAAAATAATTATATTGTAATAATATAAAAACCAAAAAAAAATAGACTTTTCACGTAATTTTAGTAATAAATAACATGACAATTACAAATTTTATAACCATAGTTATGTAATAAAATGATTGAATTACAATGTTACCGCATTAAGTCTCAATTTTTTAAATGAAATTTAAAATAAAGATTAAAAATTTTTCATAATTAATATAGCAATTGTACTTAATAATAAGATTTCTAATATATAATCACGATTATATTCAATTTAATTGTAGTAATTGTTGCATATAGATTGCAATTTTTACAATTAAATTTAATGCAAGAGCTTTTATTCAATTTTCATTTTGATAAATGAACAAAATAAGATATTAATTTTGTAAATGAATAAGTTTTATGTAATTCAGAGTTAGTTTTATGTGTCAGTGTCTCAGTCTCTTAAAATTTTCCTTGTGTAATAACATTTAAACCTGTCACGTATCTCTACTCTCAGAAAAATATTATTTTTTTATCTATCAAGTTTAACTGAAATTAAAAATATAAACATTTTATTATAGGGTAGATATAATTTTTAATCTTATACTGTATTGCAATGCTATTTTTACCATATTCTAATGCATTTTTTAATAAAATTTCATATACTGTTATAATAAAAAAGTTCTTCGTCACTAGCTCTTACAAGCTTACAATTTTCCATTCCCCTCTTTCAATTAAGAGTAGAATTTTTGTTTTCTCTACACAAACATATTAAGTATTTCAAACTTAATTCAATATTAATCATTTATCGATAATAATACGTGATATAAAATAATCGATTTAATATATTTTGTACACCCAAAAAACAAACTTAGTAGTAAATATAAAAATTCAACAGATGAGCAGTGTTAACTTGCAAAAAAGCTCATAATTAAATAAAAAGAAAAAAAAATTAATAATACTTCCTTCTCCATTCATATATAAGTTTATTTTTTTTTTTAAATGTTAGTTAATATAGATCGTAAAATTGTATAGCCACTCACATTGGAACTCCTTTTAAAGTATAATAAATTCTCAAGAATTTTTTATATCTGGCAGGTTAGCTATAACTTTGTTTTTTTTTATTTTAAATAAAAAATGTATGAAAGAGAAAGTACAGTGAAAAAATATAAAATTATTTTCGTAATTAATTATATAAAAGTTTAATTATGTCAGAAAAATAAATAAAAATTTTGCAAAATGCAGCAACAATAATAATATTATAGAATCTGTGTATTTCAGTTAATTTAATAATATAATAAGAATTTAAAACAAAAATCAAATGTATTTGTATAAATGTATGTACATTTAAAATATAATATTATTATTGTTATACTCAAATTATTAATATTATTAATTTGCGGTGAAAATATTAATATTGGATTTTTTAGAGAGAGATAAAGTGAAATTTTTTTTTCAATGTATGTGTAAGAAGAAGACAAAAATTTTCATATACAAAATTTAATTGATGCATTCATTTGCTAATTAAGACTTTAAATAATCATTTAATAAGAAATTTGTAGACCATATACAGTGAATTCAAAAAAAAAAAACAAGTACAATAATTTTTATAATTTGAACAATTGGTAACAATATTAAGGCATTTTATAAGTTTTATATTATATCGAATTGTTACTCTACAATTGTAATTAAAATAAAGTGTAACAGTATTAAAAATTAAAAATAATAATATGAATTGAGTCGAAAGAGAAAAAATATTAAAAGTACGCATTTAATTGCTTGAGAAAATTATAAAATTTGAGATTATTATGTGAACTGTTTGCATCTCTTCTCATATCTAACGCATAATCACTTTATTAGTATATAGGTGTTGATAGTAGATATTTATATTCTCATATTTCTCATTCAATTTGTTAAAGAAAAATTAACTGTTCTCACTCTCTTATTGTTCTCGAAATATAATAAGCCGTAGAATAATCAAATTTTGTGATATAGAACGTGACATGGAGAATTTATCGAAAGACATGGATATCTAACGTCTTATTTCTAGTTAGGCAGTTTGTGTTCAAGGTCACAGACTTAAACTGTTCTTTCCATATTTTAAATATTAAGCATTGGATTTGCATTTTAGGTATTACAACCAACTATTAATTCCAACCAACCATTCCTTTATAAACATTCTTATGGAATTTAAGGTGTTATACACATAGAGGCAGTTACAAAGTGTTCTACACACTTTATAGACACTGTGTTATATAGTGTCTGTTCCTAGACCTATACACATATACCATACCTACATATTATTTTTTTTATATACCTATACTATTGGGAACAATATGAAATCAAATACAAATAACCGATATTTAAATTAATTAAATGTTATATGTCAAAAAGGATAATATAAAACTAAAAAGCATAAAGAATTAAGGTGCGGAAGGATAATAATGCAAATATTGTTATATGAATGTGTGTTTGTTTGTATGTATGCATAAGGCAATTATTCATTTGTTTTTTCTCTTTTTTTAACTCTTTTCATATTAGTTTTTTTTTTGTTCGTTTCTGGCCGGATTTTCAAAAATAAAAGTTTCGTAAAATTTCGTAAAAAAAAAGTTTATTCTCAATTTGTTTTTTTTTTTATTCTCGTTTGATAAACTTGCCAACATAATGGTTTTTTATTGCAATTAAATTATGAAATTTCAGGATAAAGTAATAAAAACGAAAAAAAAAAAATAAAAAATGAAAAATTTTCTTGTTGAAAATCAAGTGGTGAATAAAAAGATAATTTTTCATTTTTTATTCCGCATCAACATGTTAAAAGTCAATGTCATCAAAAAATGGCTGTGCTTTTTTTTGTTTTTGCGTTTCTGGTTTGCTTATATAATATTTTTGCAGTTAATTAGCTTGTAACGAACATAATATTTTTACCTGTGCGGTATTTTTTTTTGTTTTTATTGTTGTAGCTTATACACATTTTGTTTTTGGTATTCCCGTTATTATAAATTTGTTGAATAATTTTATTGTTATAATAATAAATCATCGACATAATTTGGTATATGTAGACTGTTATACAAGTACAGTTATATAAGTTTTTAATATTATGTAAATTTATATAAATTGTTCTACAATTTAATATTTTTATTTTATTATTATTATTTTTTTTTTTGGTGGAAAATAATTAATTTAAAGTTTGTAAATTTTATGTGGTTTGCTATTTTTTTTGTTGTTTTTTTTTTTATATAAATTGTAACGAATTAATTGTACTTATATTTCAATAAAATTAAGTGAAGTGGAATTTTATATCTTTTTTTTTTACTCTCCACATTATACCAATATTCATTCAAAAAATTTCCGCATATTAAAATTATAAATAATGTAAATATGACCCGTACCTTATGTGAGTATGTAGGTATATGTGTATGCGCATCGTATATAGTATGT